GCAGCAAGGACGTCCGGTTGATGAAGACGTCGTCTTCATCAACCAAACGTCCCTGCTCACCTGGCAGGTTTCAGCCGTCCGCCCAGAAGCACTACGAAGAAAAGGCCAGCCGGAGCTGATCGTGCCCAGTTGAGATTTGGAAGGGGCCGCTTCAGGGCAGAGAAGCTTTGTAGGATTCAGGGCTCACTTGAGTTCACCCTGCTGCCCACTGCCTGATAAGGCCTCAACCACAGGCCGACCGAAACTTGAATATGTTGCTGTGGCGGTTTTCGGTTCAAACGACAGCCTCCAGGAATCCGCCACTAAAGACTTCACACGTCAAGCAGCCAATTCTAGAGCAGCCATGAGTGGCACGGAGGAAGGCATGGAAGCCCCTGTGAAGCAGACGGAGGATCTTGAGACGGAGGCATCCTTTCCCACAAGCACGGAGGAAAGCATGGAAATGAATGTGAAGATGATGGAGTCTCTCAAGATCTCAGAGACGGTGACGGAGGTAACCTTTTCCGCAATAGCCGGAGAACTATCAAAGTTCCTACCACAAGAAAAGAGAGAAATCATAGGCCAACTGGAGCTGGTGGTCATGGATTCCATGTGCGTCCATTGCAGTCGGTGTTATTTCCAGATGTACCTGACTCCGAAGGAACTGGTACCGTACGACGCATGCTTTCGCGAGGACCACTGGTGCGCCTGCGATGATCTCCCAGTCCCAGAATTTCGGCGACATAAATTAAATGCTGATGGAAATTCAAAGCACTGAAACCGCGGCTTGGCCCACGGTCTCGCAAGGAGCACAAACGGATTTCGCAAAAGGGTGCGAGCTTCTGATTTCTGTGCGTGGACTGCGTATTGTGCAATTTCTCAAAGCATCCGATGTCTTGCCTGCACAGGAAGCCAAACAAAGAAAGGCGCCGGGCCTGCCGCTCAGAAAGGTGCTGTTGGTCTTTAGGGAGAGAGAGAGAGAGAGAGAGAGAGAGAGTGTGTGTGTGTGTGCAGTTTGGCCCCCAGGTAGGTGTCTGGCACATTCAGCCATGAGAATCTCTTGGCCGAATGTGCCAGACACCCACTCGTCCGAGCCATTTCGCAGACGTCCGTTGGAAGCCCAGGAACAGCCAGACTGAGGGAATGGAGTGTTGCCTTGCAGCTGCTAGAGTGAAGAGATAGAGGTATACTTGGCCCGTATAGTTAGCCACTGCTTCAAGACATGGGGCGCCTAATATTTAGGGTACCCTAAACGGGACACCAATTTTGACAACCAGCCATACAGTTATACTCCTGTTATGTTTAGGTTTCACACACGACATAACTAATAGCTATTATTATTTTACTATTAAAGTCAGAATCATCTTACTAAATCTTAGTACCTTTCCCTTAGTTCTTTTTGCTTTAGATTCAACGCACGGAACAAAGGCCAAATTTCAGCGTACAGAACGCAAGCAAAATACGAACGAATTAACCCACCATCTTCTGTTTCATTTTGTTTTTTGGTTAAAGTACAAAGGAACAAAGAGTATGCGTGAATGTAATAGACGAAGCAAACGACACACCCAGACAAAAGACATGTTAATGCCGTTCGTAATTCCTTGGAGTAATTTGCCTTCTGCCACCAACCAACAGTAAACTCTCCACCTATTATCCTCTGAGAAAGCAAGTGATGAAGTGAGTAAGTGGTTGATAACGGACAAAAACAGAATCTGAGCGAACGGAGAGAGAGCCGAAGCGAGGTTTTGGTTCTCTTGACTGAGACCACGTGTGAACGGTCAACCTTGGAAACCATTGCTGGTGTAGTTGGTGGGGTGTGTTTACTTTAATTCCCCCGAGCCGTGATTTCATTACGTTCAAATATGTTCAAATGCTTCCATTCCATTCCATGTTGTTCTTGCTTTCTTGTGTCCTTTAATGCAGTAGCTTGTCAATGGATTATTGTATTGTGTAGTGTTTTCGGGTTCACTTATTTTCAATGCAATGAGAGCGAAAGAACGGAGCCGAATGAATGAAGCGAGAAATAAGCGAAACAAAACCACACAACACATTCCACCCTCATTCCTCTTTTGTTTTCTTTTGTGGGCTTTGTTCACTCTTCTCTTCTCTTCGCTTCGTTCATGCTTGTAGGTCTCGAAGCACCACCCAGCATTTCTTAAATCCCCGCCTCCCTGTCGTCGTACCCACTGAGGTTAAGACGTGCCACTTCCCTGCCTCCAGTCAGCACGTTGTCGTGCTTGTCAGTAGTGTTTGATATGTCAGCCTTTCGTGTAAAAGACATCACCAGCGAGTCTAAGACGTTCCACTGCCCTGCCTCCAATCAGCATGTCGTCGTGCTTGTCGGTAGTGTTGGATACGTAGGCCTTTCGTGTCACAGACAGGACCAGCGAGTTTAGTTTAAGACGTGCCGCTTAATAATCCAAGCTGCGCCACTCTCCAAGGCATCCGCTGCAGTAGAAAGAACTCGCATGACCTGGGTCCGGGTGGAGGTTTACTGAGGTGTATAGTGGGGCGGTGGAGGGAAATGTGTCTTGAGAGTAGGAGCACACTCCGAAAGCGGGCGACATTTTGCACGTCATTACGGAAAGTCAGATGTGAAACCTCTGTCCAGGGACACATGCGTGAATGAAATGTCAAAAACAATGTCCCTGAATTCATCGGACACATCCGTGACCGTGTCCGGCTATTATAATCTTTCTCAGATCTGTACATTGACCTGACATTCCTTCGACCGCGGATTGTTCGCTGTACATATATTATATCCGTGGTCCATTCTTGTGGTGGCGGCAAGCTGATCACTTTCGTTCTTGATAAATGAAATCAACGTGCACCAGCCAACCTGAGGGCCCAGCCCTCGACTTCCGTTCGAAACTGGCTTAGTCTGTCTAACTGTGCCTGAGAAACACGTTGATTGATGTCGTTGTCTTGCTGATACTCGTCCAAAACCAAGTACGCTGCACCCAAGCCTGCCTCCACGAGGTCCCCTTTGCTTTGTTCATTGAGTTTTCTTACGTGCTCGGAGAGGTTGCCGTACATTCTGTCAAGTACCCTGGCATACCAGTAGTTGCCCACGTCCGCATAGCGAGTTCCATCCGCACCGATGAATGCGTCTGATCCGTGGTGTATGTTGCAGAAGTTCTTTCGGACTGCTCCCATGCTTGCCAGGGACTTCCTTTCCTTCTTGCCATACTTGTCCAACCACACATCTAGAAAGCTTGCGTCCCCTGCCACACCGACATTACGTGCCCACCATTCGGCGGCCTCCAGCTGGGTCCTTCTCTCGTTGTCTACAGTGATCGGACGCTGCAGTGGTAGCAGTGATGGGCCATGTCCATGACTTCCTGGTCCGTTTCTTGTGTGGGTGGTGTCCTCCGGCCGGTCGTCGTGGTCGTTCTGCTCGTGCACCGAAAAGCGCTTCGCCAGCTCCACCTGGGTTTGCCCAAGACAGTGAATGTCCTCCCAAATAATGAGTTTGTCGTAATGGAGCTCCTTGAAAGCGATTTCATGGCTCTTCTTCGTGTTCTCTGTATCCAGCTGCAGCTTTCCAAGGACGTCCGTGATCTCCTTTAAGCGCTCATTTGTCTGCTGCATCCACTTCTCCATGCCCTGCAGTCGTTCTCTCAGAGCTGCTGCTTCAATTCGCTGTTGAAACAATTCCTCCTCCTCCTCCCTTGCCTCCGCCTCGGCCTTGGCCTTTCTCTTTCTTTGCTTTTTGGCGGCGATCTCGTCGAGGTCGTCCTGGTGCTTCATGTACATGAACATGCCCACGAACATCAGAACCACCAAAATTAGGATTGTGACCGGCACTTCCCTACTACAGGCCGTATTCCTGGAATAATTATTTATATGATTCGGATGTGGTTCTAGTGTGATTATAGTTTGAATGACGTTTGTGATTTTAATGTGATTTTAATATGACTGACTTATGGTCTTGGAACAGGGCATCAGAGAAGATTAGCTGCAAATCGCCACAGCGGTGATGGGTTTGGATTACAGTGCCAAGTGGTGTTTTTTGGGGTTATGCAGGCCTCAGGATATTCGAGATAATAACATATTGACGGCTACGCCAGCAGGGACTGAGAAGGTTTCTACTGTTCTACGCTACTGGGATCTTCGGGTCATCTAGCGGTGCCTTTAGTATGGGCCACACACGAGCCTGGAGGTCTCAGGCGCCACGAGGATGAATGATGGGACGAGCGTGCAGGCTTCATATTACAGGAACAGGTGTCACGAGGGGCGTTGAGCAAATTGTGCATGCAGCCACGACACCGACGAGAGATGTGGCAGCAGTGTATGTGGGGACTGAACCTATGTGCGAGCATATTGTCTGAACATGGTTGTTCTCGCAGAGTCAAATAAGCTGTGACAGCTTGCAATGTCTGATTTAACCACCGCACGAAATCCTAGGCCACCCATGCAACCAAGCAAGACTGGACATCATCGCTGGAAGCACATGCAACCACGCTTCTCTGTCTCTGACCTGCATGGCGGGATTGATTTATTTCCGAGAGCTGCGTTTGTTGGGTCGGTGTTTGAGTCGAAAAGTCGAACAGCGTACAATGAGATCGCAAGCAGGTCCGCAGCTAGAAAGGAGTCTGTCGCACGGCAAGCTGGGCACTCACACTAGGTTGACGGCTAAGTGTGTAGGGCTTCGGGGCTAAGGCTTAAACTAGGAATAAACTTCCAGGGGCCCGATGAGCCATGCTGGGTATATCTACGTAGGGATGCCAGGGACCCGAGGGCTGCTTGGAAAGATCTCGTGTCGCAAAACTTGGCGGCGCTGGTTCGCTGCGGGCTGCTTAAAGCAGGCTGCGGCTTCCCGGGCGCAGTGCTGCACACAACAGCTGAGAACGGAAAAAGCGTAGCATGCACAGGACCTTCAAAAGGAAAAGAGTTTGTGCGGAAGGACTCTGAATGCTACGGGTCCCAGACTGCACAGGGACCTGGCTCGGATCTGAAAGGCAATGTGCTCATTACTTCTTCTTGGGATTCTTTGTGGATTTGAGGGCTTGCGCAGCGGCGGCGTTGGAAGCAGCCTGTGCCTCCTTGAGGTCGCGGGCCTTTGCCAGCAAGGCTGGCTGAACATCTGACTCTGGAATCTTCTTTGCGGCGATCTCTTCGAGCGACGAGGTGACCGCATCTCTCAAGGCATTGCCTGGGGTGCCTATCGCGACAACAAAGAGCCCTTCGCACAGCAGGACCTTGATGGCTTTGCACTCGGCTCTAGCAGCTTGGAGGTCCTTCTCCAAGGGCTTCAAGTCTGCCAAGGCACCAACCTTGCTGATGAAGTTCTGCAGGTGCTCAGCTTCCTGTCACGCAAAGATGGAGAGGAAGCTGCTGGTGAATGACTTCAAAGCTTACTGCGCTCCTCTGCGCTCTGTAGAACTCTCACGGAATACAGAGCAGGTCGTCTACATTAATGAGTTGCCACAGCAACTGGGCTGGGGCAAGTGGCTGACGACTGCATGCAGCGGCTGAGCAAGGAAGCAATACTGCATCGGACGTGTCTGTGGAGTGATATCCTAGAGAGTGCACATAACCAAAGACAGCGCTCGCATCACACCAAGCTAGTCCACATCTACAAGACACCATCGGAGCCTTCTCCACGACAAGGACTTGCGTATCGATGGTATCGGCATCGAGGCTGTTGATCCCCGATTTCACGGCCTCCTGGCTGATGTCTTCCAAGGAGCTGGTCTCGTCGAGGTTTTTCTTCCACGATTTCACTTCGGTGTGCAAGTTCATGGTCATCTCACAAATGGCTGCGAGCTTCGTCTTCATCTCTGCACACATGAGACGACCGCGGGCGATCACCATGCCGTGGAAGAGCTCATCATTCAGCAACCCTTCCAAGCTGCTCAAGTAGCTAGACGAGTTCATCCACATGTCCTTAAAGAAGAAGTTGCGCTGCTCCTCGGAGAGCTCGTCGATCTCTTTGTGCACCTGCTCAATCTTGCTCACAGAAACTCGAAGTTGCCTTGTAGCCGATATCACATTGTCCAACCTGGCACCCTTTGCGTCCCGTTGCAAGCGTGCCTCGGGAGTGGCTCCGCTGTTCTCGAGTTCGCGAAGAAGCTGCCACATTGTCCATCCACACTTGAGACCCTGAAGCTCCTCCTGGAACAGCGTCTTCTCCAAAGCGCACGTCTGCGTCAGGAAGTCTGCGATCCTCCGGACGGTTGCCACAAGTCCCAATGCCGTAGTAGCATCCGCGGCGTCGTCCTGGGAAGTGGCTGAACGGAAACGGGGACTACCGTAAATATGGATCGTGTGCCTACCAGAGAGGCGGCGATTCTCGATTGAAATCTAACGGCAACATACAGAGCAGAAGGCGCCCATCAACAATCGCAGAGTGCGCAGCTACGCCCTACTCAGAGACCCTCCGCCACACCATGCCTGAAATCATGTATGGTGTGCATCCGGATGCATCTGTCAATGGAGTGGTTAATGGTCACTGCGTCCACGTCGGATACGGATAGGCAGTGAAGACTTGCTGCATGCATGCTCGGCTTGTCTTCACATGTTACGGACCCTGGAAATCCTGTCACTCAGACCATTCGACACTCGCAAGAATGCAGCGCGCACGCACCTCACTGCCCTGACCCCTCCCTCGCACGGCCACGCACTCCCGAAAAAAAAAAAGAACACAAGCACTGACGCTGACCATGTATCTTGAAGGCCATAAGCACAACAACACACCCAGGCCCATTTAGAAGATGCAAGCCTGAACCTCTACTGTCTACAAGACAGGACAGCACATAGCCCACCGCATCCTCTCCCCTGCTTGCCCGAGTCCTTCCAGTTCGGCCGCAGCCTGTGGTGCAGCCAGATCAGGGCCACGGTCACGTTGCTCAAGGCCTCTTCGGTCAGCTCTTTCTGTCCCAGAGCTGTCAAGGAACGCAGAAGCTGCTGCGGGTCCAACTCCTCTTCAGACGGCGGGGCTGCGTCAGTGGACTGGGGAAGCTTCTTCAGACTGGCTTGCACGTCCGACAAAGCCAGGTTTTTGGCGTTGGTGTCCTTGTACTTCTGCAGTTTCTGCAAGAGGGCCAAGATCGGTTGCTCCTGCGGCAGGCCCTTCAGGACTGACAACACAGACTCCACCAAGCTTGTCGTGACTGCGCTCCCCGCAGGGCTGGAAAGCAGCCGCGAAGCCACGCCTTTGACCCGAGCTGTCAGCACGGCCTCCAACTCTGACAAAGACCCTGCGCGCACCGCCTTGCGCCAGGCGAGGTAGTCTTTGGACGCTGCCAGCACCACCTCCTGCGGGCAGTCCTCGTCCCTCAAAGCCTCCAGGGTTTGCGCAACCTTTGGGGCAACCTCCTGCGTGAAAGTGCCTTTGGTCAACACCTCGCTCCACAAGCCTTGCCACCAGTCGTTACCGGCCAAAGTTCTCTGCGTTAGCATGCGGAGTCTACAGGCGCCCTTGTACTTCAGCAGCTCCTCTGTGTGCTTGGCTTCGGCTTTCATTGTTGTCTCCATGGGAGACAGCAAGTAGAGCAGACCATAGCTCACAGTGAGGATGTCGTTCACGGCTGTCTTAGCTGGGGCCGCCAGGTCCTCCAGGTCTCTCTCTGCGGTGTCGCCTGCTTGCTCGATGGACTCGCAGAACGTATGAACCAGGACCTGCAGCTTCTGCCTGTTCTGCTGCCCTGCGCTGAGCATGTTGAAAAAGGCGCTGCAGCCGATGCCATCCGTGAGCTTTGTTTGCAACGCCTGCTCGGGTTCACTCGCATCTAGTGGCACGACCAACCAGACAAAAAAAAATTGCATGGCTAGAGGGCACGTAGAAACTCCGACTGTATTATACCTTCTACACTCTCTGGGGCACTGCGCACAAGGACGCAGGCAGATGTCATTTTCCTTGGACTCTTGCCCTGAGGTGCAGAATAGGCCCTGGAAACCCCTACCTCTAATGGCGGCAGAGCCGACTGATGAGGCTTGCAGCAGAAACAATCCTGCAGACCTCCTATCAGACAAACCATGGCATAAAACTCCTTTGTTCATGCTCCTGCCTTCGCAGCCTCTGCGAGCTGTTCGTCGGCTTCACTTCTGGCAAGGACGCCCAACGCGGCATCCGACTCTATCCGATCCACTTCTGCTTTCCACACATCCGCAATGGCGAGGTCGACGTCGTCGATCTCCTTGTCTGCCAGAGTCGACGGCAGCCACAAGCCACACAAGCCAAGCAACTTCTTTGACAGCTCGATAGCCTTCGCTTTCTCCTTCGCTTCTGCCAGACTCTGGAGGTGGTACTCCAGAGACTTCTTCAGGAAGTTCAGGCGAAGGTCGAAGGGAAGATGGTACCCGTTAGCGTTCAGCTTCGTCACGCAATGGACAAGCTCCTGGTAGTCCTGCTCGTCGAAGTTCTTGTTCACGGTGAGGACCCGACAGAAGCCCATCAGCTGCAAGCGATCCCTCAGGATCACAGCCTCCGGCTGCTTCTTCTTCTCGAGCGTGCCGAGGAGCTTTTGGGCCTTAGCCAGCATAGGGTGGCGAAGCTATCCTGGCAAGCAACCGGTTCTTGGGGAGCTTTAGTGTCGACATGTGTCGACTGTGGTTCCTAGCTGGAAACTGAAGCCCCGACTCCAGTGAGCTGCTTCCCAACCTTCTCCTTGCTCCGCAGCGCCTTGTTCGGGTCCAGCTTGTGCAGGCTGTTGTACTCCGCCCCGCAAGCATCCGCAACAATCTTCATCTGGTCGTCCAAGGGCTCTTCGAGGTCTTCCAAGACACCCTTCTCGACCTTCTCGCCCTCGCTGTCAGTCTCCACGGTATCCTTCGCTTTTGACTTGGTCTTCTTCTTCTTCTTCTCGGGAAGGCTTTCTGCAGCACCCAGGAAGCCCAGGCCGAAGGCTTCCGGTGCCAACATACTCCGCTTCGCCCCACGCACTATGCTGGAGATGCCACTGAGCTTGGAACCCGCACCCGACAGGATGCTTCTGGCATCGTCCTTCTCCTCGTCCGAGGGATCAACCAGCTCGTCCTCGGCCATCTCCGCTGACTCCTCGCCCTCTTCCTGCCCTTCCTCCGCCAGTGCTTGAAGACGTGCTGCCTCTGCCTCCTGCAGAGACGGGTGGCATGGGGCTCAGTCTTGCGAAATTCAAGGCTTTTAAGTGACAGTGTTGCACCTCCCGGTTTGGGGTGCCGAAACCGGGTAGTGGCTGAGGTGCCCTGCCCGGGGCCTCGGGGGCCTCCCTGAACCTGGTATGTTCTCGGACAGGGGTGGCCTGGGGCTCAAGTTGAAAACTTTTCCGGGCAACAGGACGCGTGTGGCATGTCCCGGTTTGGGTTGCCGAAACCGGGGTTCCGCCCGGACTATAGGGGCCTCGGCACATGTGGTCAGCACCCTCCCCCCCTAACAATGTAGCCTGGGACTCAACTCCTTCATGTGTCCCGGTTGGCTTCAGTTCCTGGACGCTGGTTTCACCGACCTCACTTTCTAGGGGCACGTTGTACCAGACACATTGACATAGCCCGCAGTGGCATTTCTCGGGAATCTGACTTTCTAAACAACAAGCACTGGAAGAGCAGCTGAAGCAACAGGGGTCTTCTCTCACGGACAGCGAGGTACAGGGACCGCTGACGGAATCTCTTCAGCTCCTGTACTAGGCAGGATGGAAGCAGTCACTGCATCGAACCCACAGTAGAAGCTGCGGAAAAATCACTGACAGAGCACGCTTCAGGCAGCAGACACTGCACAAGAAGCCTCAAAGTCTAACAACCTGGTCTGCATTATGCTGCGGTGCATAGTCCTGCTGCAGGAGGTCCGTGGCCTTGCTGCGTAGCTCCTCTACCGACTTCGCGTGGATCCGGTTGTTGGCTGTCATGGACTTCGCCCATGCCTTGCCGTTGTGGACGCTGGCAACGAAGCGGTAGACATCTTCGCCTTGATCTTTGCGCAGTTGCTTCTCCGGCCGCTGCAGATGGTTGTCCAACTGCACGGAGACTGTGCGCTCCACCTGAATGCGCCGGAGGGCGAGCACCTCCGACGCAGGAACGCCCTTGAGAGCGACCACGTAGCCCGACTGTTTCGTTTCCCCGTCCTCGAGCGTGAGACTGATGGACTTCATGCCCAGCTCCTTGGCCTTCTTGCCGCTGAGTGCCTCCAGCTCACTCTCCGTCACAAACCCCAGCTCGAAGACGAGCTTGAACGACTGAGTCTGCACAGTTCTGACAGAGCTCGGCGGGGAAAACTCCGGCACTGGTTTCCCCTCCCACCGAGCTTTCAGTACCTCGCGCGAGGCATTGAAGGCTGCCCTGAACATGGCCGCTTTGTCCTGATCCTCTCCCTGGCGCTTGTGGTACATCGTCGTGATCTGGGGCCAGGTCATGTGGGGAAAGGCCTCGACGGCTACCGTAGCATCCAGGCGGCACTTGTCCCCAACGGGCTCTCGGCGCTCGTACTGAGCCCAGTCCGCGGCCTGGGCCGGTCACTGTCAACAACTGGCTCAGGCCAGCAGTGCAGCCAATGTTACTTCATGCGAGCACACTCTGAGACAAGGCTACAAGTCCCTGGCCTCAGGCTTCTTCAGACAGACACCGCAAGGAGACCAAAGCTGCCGCTTGCCCTGCTTTGTCTTCAGGCCCTTGTTCACCTTGGCCTGGCTGCCCCGAGGAGGCTGCTTTGTCGCGCGGGTTTTCTGGGAAAGTTTCTTCTTCGGTCTTTCCGGCAGGAACTCGGCCACCTGCAGCTCCTGCGGCACACACTATTTACACTCACAGGAAGCAGAACGGCAATAGCCAGGTAGGCAGCTCAGTCGATTGTGCAACAGACTGCTACTCGTTTCATAGAACACCAGAAGAGCTGTTCCGTTGCACCTGCATTTTTTTTTGTCTTGGGTGAGGACAAAACAATATACACTTACACTGCTGGGGGATCTTGTGCGAGACCAGGAGAGCGGCTGGGCCAGAGGAACCCCCCCCCCTAAGCAGGCGCATGCCGAGTACATGCGAGAGAAGGACTTGAGCGCCAGAGACATGAAGGAAACCGAGCTCACTAGCTTTCCAGCCGCGATGAATATGCATCCTCTGGAAACTCCGTGCACCAGGCCTGAGCCGGTGCTTCCTTGGCCTCTGCCTTGTTGGTCCGAGCAACAATGCATGGAATACATGTTTGGGCTCGACAGCTTAAGACTCTTCTGACGCAGGCTCACCTCTGGTAGCAACATGACGAGCACACCTCCAATGCCACTGTTACTGCACTACCCTCTGCAGAAGACGCGGCC